AAATCTCAAAAAAAAAGATGTCTCGCTGAACAGGGGATTTCTGTTGGCTTAAGTCAATTTCATTTTTTCATAGAATTGTCTTTTTTATTTCAAAAGATATACTTAGCAACATTTCTAGATGAATAATTATAAGAAAAAAATAGGAAAAATGGGAAGGAATTTAATGATATTCTTTGCAATATGTGCTCTTGCGTTTTCAAGATTAAAAGTATTCATCAAATACAATTTAAACTCATTAAAGATTTCTAAGTTCTTCCCGGATACCTGTCTGTTCACACAAAACATCCGCACAATTACATGTTGTTATAAAATGCTTATGATTACAACCCAATCCACTTATTTATTAAGTCCTATTCATAAAATTAAGCCCTCAGCTTCAGAAAGGAATTCAATAGATGGAATGCACATCTTCTTTTCAATAGAATCAATGAAAAACCATGAAAAGTCTTGTTGTGTCTGCAGTGATTTTTTTTCAACAATGAACTGTCATAGACATTACTCTACAAATGCTTGGCACTGCTTTTATTTTCTCTAGCTCTGTGCATTCTCTTGAAACTTATTCTGACACAAACACCTGATCCATCCTTAGAATCCCTTATAGCTTTCATTTGTTCCTAACCCATTAAATTTAAGTGTTAGAGATAATGGGTGTTTTTTCAAAAGATATTTAAAAGGAAGTCATGATATGGTGCAGCTCTGACCTTGAGTCACACTGTCGGGAAAAGAGCTGAGTCCTGGCTTCTCTTCGCTCGGGAGGGGTCCAAAACCTCAGTCTTTCCATGACGTTTTGTACCTGTCATGCACACCACTGATCCTAGCCCCCACCTGATGACTTGAACTGCTGCCCCCACCCTGTAATCACTTCATCACTGTGGACTAGCCTGGCTCCTAGATGTTGGCTAAACTGGCTTTCTGTCATGGGGCCTGCTCTGCTCACCTCATCCAGGGTCCGTGTCCTTTGCCAGCCAGGTCCCTGCCCTGCCATCCTTGCTTGAAGCTCCCAGCTCCCAGCTCTCCATCCACAGCAGAGAACAGCCCCGCTTCTGTCTCTCCCTGACAGTAGGGCTCACTTCACAAGACCCTAGTTCTGTGTTGCTGCTTGCTATCAATTAACATGACTGTATCAAAAGAAATACACTTTGCAGAAATAAGTAGCAATAAAGAAAATTACAAAGAAATTTCTGTTTAGGAGTGGAGCAGCAAAGGGAGCTCTAGACAGATACTTTGGTATGTTCAAATGGCTAACCCTCCTGTGGTCAAGCCATCCTTGGCAGGAGTGAGAGATGGTTGCTGTAAAGAGCCTATAGGTTACAAGCCTCACAGATACACATTGCTAAGGGGAATTGAAATACTGGCAGAAAATTACTTGGCATAATGAAAACATCACTTGATTATCATTCATTCAGTAATATTATTTTCATTAAGTAAATGGAAATTTCAAGAGCTTTCATGCCTCAGTCTCTCAGAAAAGAACACTGAAAAGCTGACCCTCAGCATGAATGTGAGCTAATAAAAGCTTTCCCAAATTGGTGGTAGGCAGTGGTGCCTACCAAGGTGATGTTTGTCACTGTTTGAATCGACCTTTCTGTGAAGCTTGAAAACCAATTCACATGTAATTGCAAAAGCTGCCTTTTGGTAATATCCTATTTTATTGACAAAAGGGGATGAGGTCAACTCATTTTCATAACAATCAGCTTGAAGAAATCCTTAAGCACTCTATCAACTATAGTTGTTTTGCCATACAGCCTATAAAAGTATTACTGAGCTTAGAACAGGCAATAAGAAGGGAGAAATGACAAGCTTTGTATTAGTTTTGCTGTGGCTTTTTTTAATAACTCTTTTAAGAAGTTGCCTAAAACCTAACATTAATGAACAAAAAAAAAAAGACAAACACCAGAATTTTTTTTCTGTTCATTGATCTAGTCTGGGTTTAAAATATTGCTTCCTTTAAAATCAAATAGTTCTTGAATCCTTTCACAAATGCAACAAATGGAAAAAGAAAGAAAAATATACAATGCAAAGGAAGGAAGCAGTTTTCAAAATCAGACACATTTGAAAGGTTCCTGTCTTCTGTAGCAATAGCTACAAACATCAGCAATGGCTAGTGACAATAAATGATAAGTGATTGTCATGAGACGTGGTTCTGGCTTTGGTTCACTACTTACAAATATGGTTTCAGTGAATTTATTCTTTTATCTGATTTTGGATTACCCTAGTTTGAGTCATAGTTTTTACTGATTAGTTAATGCTTGTGAATTAATAATTATCTTGAACAAATTACTGTTTATCAATTGTGCCTAAACAGGTCACTACAAGTTATTTGTAATTTTCTCCTTCAGTTGCATGGATGGCTATCTATGTCAGATAACAATTTTTTTGGTCCTTGTTGGGATGCAACAAGCTTTTTGAACTAATGTGCCTGACAAAAAAACCCCATAGTTTTGATTCTTGTTATTGAGGCTGGTTACAGTAGATTGTTCTTTGAGCATACAGAACAACAAAGGTAATATAAAGACATAGGACACTTTAGGATATTTGAAACATTTTGGTGACTTCCCTTAGCCCAACACATAACACCCTTTTTTAAGGATCCCATATTTAGAAAATATATTATGAACTTCATAAACAGATTTATCAGTGGCTGTATAATAATTTATTCTCCTTTGTCATATTCAAATACCCAGCAAAAATATTTCTCACACAAAAGCTGAGATAGATGTGTTTTCTTCACCTGCTTTTTTCTGTATCTGAACTGAAAAACCATACTATTTAGGAAGCTGATGTGTCATTTCTCTCTCTTATAAACAGTAAATGAATTTTGAATAGCGGCCAAAGAAGGGCATGGATTGAATATTCTGCTCTTTACTTAGTGCCATGCTGTCACCAGTTACTCTCTATTCTTAGAAGCATAAATGTGTACAGTGGCCTTTGTCTCTTATCAAACGTGTTTATGCCAGGTCTCTTCTTTAGGCTTTTAGGGAACATCTTACTCCTCCATGAAGCATTCCAAGTTAAATATAATCAAAACATCACGTTTTCCGCCCATGCTTAGTTGTGTTCAGGCAATCAGCAGAACTATCAGATGCATCCTTGGTCCTTAGGGCCTCCCAGGATATTGGGCCCTCTTGAAATTTTGTGGTGGAATCATTTCAATCCACTACTTGTGTCTTCTGCTACTGCTGCTCATTGTTTACTTTGTCCTGCTTTTCTTAGATAAGAGCTTTTCCCTTTCCTTTTCCCTTTCCCTTTTGCTTTCCCCTTTCCTTTCCTCATTTTTTGAAAGCACAGTACCTATTTTCATATACTCGCAGATTTATGCCTGCCCAACTCTTGTCCACATTTTTAGGTTTTGAATTTTGAATAAAATAGTACTTTCTTCAGTAATTCCAAGAACAAGCTCAGCAACTACAAGAAAAATCAACTGTCAAAGTGTTGCTATTTGCAAACATGATTTGCAAGTTTTCTTTTGCTGTATGCCCCTGGTCCAGTGTACCTCCCTCAATAAACGGGTCATGAGGACTCCAGGGACAGTGCTGCAGAAAAGGAAACTGGCTCTGCTCCAAAGTTAAAAAGTGCTTTATTCCTGCTGAGGATCTAGGCATCTATTTTTAATTACCAGTTTTGTGATTACTCCTTCAATAATGCTGCTACCAAAGAGAGTTATTTCATTAAAACAGTGTTAGCCAATTCCGCTGTTTAAAAAATAACCAACACCTCCAAAAATGTTTGTTTTAATTAATTATAAAGGGCAAAACTCAGAAAACAAGTAAATATTAATAAAAGATGGCAGTCTTGAAAAGGGCAAAAGGGAGATGAATATATGTGTGTACTATTGTATAGGGAGAAGCACTTTAAATAGAAATGTTTGCAGAGTCAGACACAACAGAATATCCATTCTTGCAAATTGTTCTTAGTAAATCTATCTAATCTATTTATTTATCCACAGATCATGCACATTTAGATCTGAGTTCTGCTAGCTGAGTTAATAATTCTTATCTGAAAGTAATTATGTTGGTCCATAAGTTTTCACCACTGTGCTGTTCCACATCGTATCAAACTGCGTGACATCACATTAGCATAAAATGCATTGTGGTGGTGCGCAGCATGGTGCAGTGGCAGACTAGAAATGATGCAGCATTCCTAGCAGTAGTGAATGAGGAAGTGTCACTGGTATTTAGAAACTTGTGCCTACTGCAGTTTGATTACTCGCTGGAGGATTTGGGTTTTTCGTCTTTCATTTATATTTGAAGGGCTTGAACTGGATATTAACTTTTATGACCCAGATTTGGTGCTCAGGAGAAGCCCTGTTAGAACCCCAAAAGCCTTCAAACCTACCTTTTAGTTACAAAAATGTGTCAGTTTTGAATTTATTGACCATCTGTCAGACTTCACTCACTATGAGCTAGCTGTCAATGTTTGTTATTTGATGCATTCTATAATGGCTCACTGCAGGAAGCTACCAGCATCTCCATCACAGCAATTAATGAGGTCACTGTCTATCTGCAAACATCTCAGCCTATAATTATTTTTAGTCGCTATTAGCTAGTATGCCAGATCAGATGAAAGTAATGTGTCTATAAATAATATTTGGAACTACTTATAATATTTACCTGTTGTGGAGATATTTGAAAGATTGTATCTATTAGGTTTTTTTCTTTAATTTTATATAAGATGTCCCCATTTAAATCTATTCCCATTTAAAATCATGAACAATAAAGCCAACTTGTTTTCATGTAGGTTTTCATGTACTAAAAAATATGATGAAATTTCCTTAATAATATTTTTAGAACAGTAGTTCCCCAGGAACCCCATGAATATTTCCACTACATTGTGCAATGGATTTAGTGTACAAGGAGATATAATTCCCATCCTGAGGAGCTTAAAATCAAAAGAGGCAAACTTAATTATGTATGGGGCCAAAAAGAAGGATAAATGTTTCAGCAGAATTGAAGAAGAAGGATTTTCCTGTTGTTCAGATATCATAGCAAGAGGAACGTACTTCAGGGTGTATCTCCAGAAAATTATTTCAAACTGTGGGAAATGTCCCTTCTGAACTCATATATTTATTTTCAGTCCCTTTTTTTTTGTGAAAGCTAAGACAAAAATGGTCCAGATTCAGAAAGGAGAAAAAACAGTATGGATTCCTGGGTTTTTCCCTACCTAGTGCACTTTTCCTGTGGTAACACAACAAAGGGGACTTATCCTATACACAGGTACTGTCAAGTTCAACTTTCTTCTATTCCAAAGTGATTTAACACAACCCTACAAAAGTAGAATGATAAAAAGTATTTTTAAGATATGTCAGACCACCTTTTTGTCATGACAGATTTGTATAAATTATCAGAAAAAAATTGAGTAAAACTGCAAATAATTTTGCCTGTCTTAATTTCCACAGTTGTTGGACTCACACAAAAGTTGTCAATTTACACTATTAATAGAATCATTGAGCCTCTATTTAGTATTCGGAAAATAATTTCTGAGGATAACTGTGGAAACATTGTGACACAGTAAAATACTACAATGGCATAGATGATGTACGTAAAAGGAGACAATAATAATCTTATAGATGACATGAAGAAGTGTTTTAATGTTTTGTGTCAAACTGACAGGTTTTTTAATTGATAGTCTGATTATTATTCCACTTATTATTATTATCTTAAAATGCAACCAAAGAGAAGTAAATAGATGCAAATTATATGTTTTACCACTTCTTTAAGTCTTGAAAATAAAATTCTTCTTCAACTGCTTCCTTTAATGATGACCATTATCTTCTACTCTAATTTATTCTTTTTACCAGAATACTTTGCTGTAACTATTATTTATTATTAAACTAGTCAGCTTTTCTATTAGATATGATAATCAAATTCCTTTCTTTCTAAAGCCCAGTACAGGTCCATACTAAAACCCAGGCCATTTTACTGGGGTTATAATTTCTTTTCTCACTACCAGTTCTGTTAATTTAGCCTTTCTGAAGTGAAAAACCTTCACTGCACTGAATAAACTGTTTGCCCAAGGAGCCCAGTGAGGCTTGGAGTGAAATCTCTGCTAAGATATGGGATACAGCAAGATTTCTGGGCAGAACTGAAAGTATGAGCAGAGGTGCTTGCCTATAGACCTAGCAGAGATAAAGATGGTAATAGCTAGGCAAACAGCACACTTCCCATGATATGTAGTAGGAGATTAGGAATAGGAAAAGGGGTGGGGGTAGGAGAGGAGAAGAAACCTTTTAGGGTTTAATGAGAAGGAGTGAAAGCTAAGTCAACACTTGTGTGCTGGTTACTCAGCACTGGAGAGACAAGCATGGAGATCCCAGAAAGATATTTGAAAAGCAAAAATTTTTCAAATGACAAGAAAGTGAGGGGGTTTGGCAGTTAGCAAGCCTGATGAAAGGAGGAGATGATTGTGAAAAGTGTCTGAGGAAGTCTTGCTCAAAGATCTCCGGAGAAAGGCCTGAGAAGTTAGTCTAGTTAATCACAGGTTAACTATATTGTCTGTGTAATGTTGTATCTGGAACTTCTAAAATCTGATTCTTCAATTGACAGGAAGTTTTTATGGTGATATTTTGAAGGTCATTTCATGTACTGCAAGAGGAAATTCTCCATATAGAAGTTATTCTAAGGCTGCAAAGAGCAGCTTATTTTCAGGAATCACTATTTTTAGGTAAGTACAGTACTTCTTGGTTGCTTCCACACCTTGATGGGAAGAGTAGTCAAGATTTTTCCTTTCTTCCTTAGCTTTTGAGATGTAACTTTGGAAAATGGAAGGGAGACATAAATTACTTTTCCTTCAAAAAGGAAAAAAAGGAACAGAGAAAACTTGATGGAGATAATGTGTTTTCTTTGTCCTTTTTTTCTCTGAAATCCTGCTTTGGGAGAGATGGATGAACAACTTCCAGGGAAAAGTTAAAAAAGAAAGAAGTGAAAATGGAAAAATTGAATGTACATATTTAATTGCTCAGGTGGGTAGAGCTGATGATTTGAATGAATATTGGTGCTTCAGGATTATAATTCATGTGGGTAGGCTGGGCAGGATATAATCTTGTGGTTCCTTTTGATGGATTGGTTGATGCTTCAAAATACAATGCAATGAAGCATTCCTTGTCCAGAGAATGTTTAAGTCTCCTTAATAGTTTTCTTATCATTGTCCAAAATTGGGAGAGTGAGCAAGATGATCTGATTTCCAGATGCTTTGAAGGTGGCTCAGGTTTGTGTTGAAAAAGCTAGTCAGGGAAAGGTGTACTTAAGAAAAACCTTAAGAAAAACCTATTAACTGGGATGGTGGCAGAATGTTTCATCCCACCTTTTTGTACTTCGAAAACCTCCAAACAGTTCTAGTAGATTGTACATTCTCACTTAGCTAAAATTATTTTAGAAGGTAGCACATATAATACTGAACCAGTCAAAGGTACATTTCAATCTCGAATGCTACCCCTTTTCTTAATTCTTTTTATTTAACAGTCTATTTGCTAGTACAATGTCATTTGTTTAGGTTCATAATACCATAGCATTAGTATTTTTGTTTTAAAGAATAAAATTCTTGTTTCATCAAAAGCTTTACTCTGTAGAGCTGTAGGAAAATTGTACAATCTTTTTCTCACATTTGCTATTTTTATTTGTCTTTTAGTTTGGTACTGTTTTCCACCACACAGCTTTGTCTCCTGTAGACTGTCAAATTTGTCAGGATTCCTTATTTGTTGGAAACTTTTCAAGCAGAAGGGTTATTCTTCTACTAGCAGCTCTAAAAATATATCCCCAGCAGGTATGACTTGTATGATGATAACCTAGGCTGCAAGAAGGGACACAATTGAATAACAGAATACTAAATAAATAAAACTGAGTTTTCTTTCATCTGCACAATTCAGCTGGGAGTACTTCCTTTATATGAGCTGTTGAATTTGAGTAGATCCAGTCATTTATTATGACAGGTTGCAATTAGTCAGCATGCCGCTTATGTTTGCTTCAGATTCTGCTTGCTGGAACACTGAAAATGTTTGAACAAAAGAAAGCCATAGGACCTTTGACTAGCTAACCTAACCACTGGTTTGGCTGGAGATATTAGTTGGTTCAACATTTACATGAACAACAATTTTCAGGCAAAATATTCTAAAACACAGCTTTGCTCTTAGTACTGTCCCTTCCATTACTTTATTTATGTAATTTTTGAAATCTAATTTTATATTAAAAGATTATTTGGGGTGTTTTTTTACAATTATTATCTAGCCTACAATTTCTAGCACAAGGGGAGCCTGAAATGGAAACTTGTATCTATCTCTACGATTACACAAATAATAACAACATTTAACAGCCTTTTGTCTCTGAGGCATTAAGACAGCAAATTGAGCTGCATTAATGGCTAATTATTGTTTTCAACATCTTCCCTGTGCGTGACTCAAGGAAAAGGTAGTTTTCTTGACTTTTAAAAATTCATCCTGCCTAAATATGAATATTTTCTTGAATCAAGTTATCTTTATATTCTGAATAGGAAAATGTAAAATTTTATTTTAAAATTTGAGAACACATTATATTTAACTTGAGAAATTTCCAGCTACGGAAAGTTGTGATTTCTTTTCTCTCTATTGTGGAAAATCTGTTGTTATGCAAATATGTTGATATAAAGCATACAATGAAGAAAAGATATATTTTTTATATCATTTTCCATAGATGGAAACAGGACATATTGCGTTACCTATATCTGGTCATTATAGGGTCCATGCAGCTTTAAACATGTAGATTTTTAAGTGATTGTTCTGAACTCCAGCAGGCCAGCTTTTGAGGCTTATAGCAAGATGATACAATTGAAAGAAAAGCTTGATTCACTTTGTTGAAGAAAATATAAAAGCAGAAAGGGGCCTGCAGGATATAATGAAGTAATCTGAATTGTTTGGAAGAGATGGGTGAACAACTTCCAGAGTAAAAAATTCCCATTGCACCATGGGTATTTTTACGTGCTTGAATTTCTTAAAAATAATTGAAATTTGTTCTCAAAGCTTTGTTGCTCTTCTTAACACCTATGGATCACATACAGTCACCTAGAGTTTAATGATCAAATTTAGATTAATTTTTTTTTTCTCAAAAATAAAAAAGAGACACCTGTGGAGTTTATTTAAGTGGAGGGATAGCCCGTGTTGACAGATCAGAAATATTACGAAGGACAGCAATATTTTTAATAATGTTTCCAGAGAAAGAATGCACTGTTTTTGCTTTCCTGTATTGCAGATAAACATAAGCCATTCATTTACTGGAAAAAAATGGATAGGAAATTATTTTTATATTTAAGCACTAATTTTTACTTAAATCTCAAACTTCTGACAGGAAAAAATTGAACTCTCTCCAGGCTGCAGGTCTGCTGTCATTTTTAAAGAAAATTTTTTTTCCACTTATTTCCTACATGTCTTTTTAAATCTTGCATAAAGTCTGTATTTTTCTATCTTCCTGAGGGTTTGCTATCACTGTTCCTCAAATAAACAAATATTTTATATTTTATTTTTTTTAAACCTTCAGAGCTCAATCAAATATTAGTGGTCAAACTCTGATCAATTTCAGTGGATAGTAGATATTTTAACAAATTTCATTATAAATATGAGCCTCTGCTTTTTATTTTTTTTTTATGATATAATTTTTTTACTTTTCTTGAGTTCCACAGATTCTTCTGTTCTTGCTCTGGGGAGACCATCAATTATTGGATTTTAAATAAATAATGTAATTTTGATGTATCTGTCTCTAACATGGCTTCAAGAAGAATGTGAGATAAAACATTTGATATAGCTCTTCTCCTGTTGATCAGGACACTTTCTACAGATCCTGGTTACATCCAGTTTAAATTGCCTAATACTGGGCAGGATGATGAACCTAAATTTTCCACCTACTACAGTGTTCTATCTACTAGAATATAAAAGAAAATGTAGATATAAGTTGATCTTTCTAATTAAAATTGGCAACATTTCATGAGCTGTTTCTCCAAATATTTGTGAATTATGGGAATACAGATTGGATTTGTTCTCTATTAGGAATGAAGCATTTGTAATGGGACTGAAGGGCAGAAAGGGGCAGTTCTGAGATGAGCAGAAGCTAAGCCATGGGTTCAGATAGCTTTTCATTCAAACTGAATTACCTTTGATTTAACATTCTGCAGTAGCAGAATAGGGGTGTTGAACTGAAGTCTTATACTTACCACAGTCTTGCTTATGTTCCACCTTGTGATATTCTCTCTCCTCTTTTCCTCTGCTTTTAAATCCATTGAGATAACAGTGATTTACTGCTGCTCTGACTCATAAAGATGCACTAAGAGTCTAATTCAGGAAGTCAGTAGGATTTTTGCCACAATGAATCAGTATAACCCATGTTGCATAAAATGAGCAGATATAAAGTGCATTTCAGGACATGATATGGCCTTGTACTGTCTCCTGTGATGGTGCATGGAATTCCTCCGAAGAAAGCAGCAACAGTCTTGTTTTTACACTATGTGGAAGAAACACTCCACCTGGAAACTGTAATTTTTCCTTCTATTTCTACTGCTGATTCTCCATATCTATTGGACTCTGAGTATAAGCCACATCATTACCAGACTTAGTCTATTTGAAGCCATACCAGCTAAGCCTGGAAATCTGTCTGCCTTTTGAATGTCTGTCTTTGAGAACTACCAAATGCCACACAGCTTTCAGATTTTTAGATTGCTGATTTCTCAGGCATATCATTCTAGGTAACTGCACCCCAAAAGACACAGAGAAAGGAAAAAGGAAGGGACAACTCAATACAATATAAGGATAGATAATCAGTCAGAACTTAAAAAATCAGGAGCAGATGTAGCCCAATTAAACTCAACAGTTTCACAGGTGTTCATAGGAATGACTTTAATATAAACCACACTTCCCTTCAGGGCTTCTTAATTTTTTTTTCCTATAGCTCTTTAAATTTTATATACTTCACCAAACTAAACTAGAAAATGTGTACGGGAAAGACAATTTGAGTTTAGTTGGATATAAGTGATTTAAAATTCAACATGCTGTTTGATTTTGGAATCATGATGAGTCACATTTATTGAGGAGATGAGGGTTAGGTGATACCACATATTCATTTGGTTTTGAACTCCTGGCAAAAAACATCCACAATTAAAATTGTCATATGCAAGATCTGAAGGTTGCTAGAAAATGCTGGTACTCTAGCCCTAATTGGCTTCAACATGTAAAATTCATTCTCAGCAGCACGTTTTGGAATTTGTCATTGTCTCACTACCTGAACATTGTGCTATCAGCCAGAAACACAGCATATATGCCATTCATTCTTTTCAAGCTGGTGCTTTTCTGACTGCAGTTTTAGGAGTTTGTTGAAGGGAATAGGCAGAGTGATAATGCAAACATTTTTCATGCATATCTGTTGTTATGGTATTAGCATTAATCCTTTGACTTCCTATCATATTGCAGAATGAAAAGGTTTTCTTCTGATCAGGTGCTGTAACATCTGAAAGACAGAATCCACCTATTTTTTTATTGTATATAATATCTGGATTAATTTATTTTCCCTGGAAATTGTATAGCCCATATTCTTCCATGGCACAGCTCCTTAGATGATGTGCACTTTCTTGGTAAATTAGACATTACTGAAGTCCTTCCTTGCATTCAGGGGGAGCTGCACCTGCAAGTTCAAAGAGTAGACTGGAAAGTATGCATGGCATTACCATCTTGAACTACCTTTACAATGCAAACTTTATATTATTTGGCTTTATTTAGCCTGCTCTTCAGTGCCATATTGTTTATTTCACCAGTGCACAATTTATTTAAGAAAATGAGTTCTACCTGCCAGAATTTGTCAATATCCTCAGGAGAGTTTGGTGGCTTGACCTTGTCCAGCAGCCAGACACCTGCCCAGATGCCTTTTCACTCCCCTTCTTCAATAAGGCAGGGGAGAACAAATGATGAAAGAGCTCATGAGTGTGGTGTGGGCTCCTCCATGGGCTGCAAGTGGATCTCTGCTCACCCATGGACCTCCATGAGCTGCAGAGGGACATTTGTTTCACCAAGGTCTGCACCTCAGGCTGCAGAGGAATCTCTGCTCTGGTGTCTGGAACAACTTCTCCTTCTTCTTTTTCACCAGTCTGGGTGTCTACAGGGCTGAAGATGTCACGTATTCTCACTTTTAAGAATCACAGGATCAAACAGGTTGGAAAAGACCTCTGAGGTCACCGAGTCCAACCTATGACCCAACCCCACCCTGTCAACTAGACCATGGCACCATCTGCCATGTTAAAACTTTCCTTAAAGAACTCCAGGGACACCACCACTTCCCTGAGTAGCCCATTCCAATGTCTAATCACACTTTCTGTGAAAAAATTCCTCCTAATATGCAACCTAAACCTCCCTTGGCATAGCTTAAGACTGTGTCTATTTGTCTTGTTACTTGTTGCCTGGGACAAGAGAACAAACATCACCAGGCTGCCACTTCCTTTGAGGTTTCCTTCTCTCTAGGCTAAACAGCCCCAGCTCCATTAGCTGTTACTCACAGGACTTACTCTCTATCTTTTCTCTCTCACTGTGCAGCAGTTTTCACTATTTTGTTTAACCCAAGGTTCCAGCCCTTGGCTGTGGTACCCTCCTGTGGGTCAGGTGGAGACAGCTGGAACCAGCTGTGCCCAGCGTGGAACAGCCCAAACTGTGCTTCTCACAGAGGCCCCTGCAGCTTTCCCCGCCCCTTCAGTATTCATGTCCTCCATGCCGTCTGTGACTGTATCATTAACATTTACATCCCCCTTAATTAGTCCATCTTCCAAGATGAAAAAACCCATTTACCTCGTTTTGTCCCAAGAAGCAAGAGGATGACATTGATCATCCTTGTTTCCTTTCACTGTAGGTTTCCCAGGAGCCTGCCTTTGCAGTGGGAGCTCAGCAGTGTGCATGGAGAAGGTGGCTGGACGTGGGCTGAGGCTGGCGTGCTCTCCAAATGACATTCAAGGTGCCAAACTTTCCCACGGAAAGAAGATAAATCTTCTGGCTTTTTGCTTTGTTCTTGCCAGTAGGCAACCTTCAGTCCTGGGTGTTCCTAGGGCTGATGCTCTCACATATTCTCACTTCACAGAATCATGGAATCAATTATCTTGGAAAAGACCTCTGAGATCATTGAGTTCAACTTATAAAGAGTTGGACTGAATACAAAGTTAGGAGTTCTACTCTCTAATTTTCCAGGGTAAGGATATCTATCCAAAGTAACTTGACATCTCCATGTTAGTTTTTACCATCTGTAGTAAAATAAACAGTAATTTAAATATTAGGATACTATACAAAATAATATTTGATATTTGACCAATGATTGAAAAAAATTTAGGTTTATGGAGTAGTATGTATTTTTATACATATGTTATGACTCTCTGCTTTGAGGAATTCATGACAGATGACTTTAAGATTTAACATTTAACATTTAAACATCTCTGAAACACGGGTGATTTTTAAAAAAAACTTAAAAGCTATTTCACAGCATGAAACAACAGTGAGTTTCTTATACTTTTTGAAATGTAAAGTAAAACAATTACTCAGTTAAGGAATTAAATTATTTAAGTAGCAAGTCGAATTTGTTACTCTTACAAGTAATTTTTTAAAATTAATAAAACATTACTTAAGTAAATTTAGTGCTTATGTCTCAAATAAAATGTAATAAATTTCACATGAATGAATAAGTCATTATTTAATTTAAGTGTTAATGCTAGGTCTTTTGAAAATGAGATAATTTTTGTTCTGAGAGTCTGTGGCTCATAGTGCAATAGATGTTGAGCACAGGGTGAAACCAGCCTCATCAGTGAGCTTCCTGAAGTAGGCTGGGTGGCAAGAGGGCAGGGGCTGGTACCAAATATGTGTAGGGCTTAGTCAAGAAGAAAGAGTTGATGGAACTGATGGATCTCATCAGTCTGCTTCACTGTACTTCCAATTTTAGGCACAGCACTGTCCTTGCTGGAGCTACGCATCTTGCAGAATTGTCTTTGGGCTATGTTGTTTAAAGTGAGTTCTGTTAGAACAGTGGTCACACTGCAGTGTAGAAACAATCTGCAGATCACATCAGGAAACCATTATGCTGTTTGACAGGCCCCTGCAATCCATCCACATCCCAGCTTGATCCCAGAAACCTGACCTTGGGCCAACCTGGCAGGACGTAGGTGAGACTGCAGAACTGAAAAGGGACATGCTTCTGGGATTAGCATCCTCTCTAATGTGTGAGCTGCCTGATGCAAGCCTGGAGAGCTCTGCAGGCCAAAAGAGCAATGTGATACATCATGAACTCCAAGGCAGAATTTTGACCACCTGCTTTTTAAAAAACTCCCTTTCATGCAGCTTTTGATACATCAACTTACACTTCCAAGTAGGTGATTTTCCAAATTGCTTTTCTACCCTATTGTCCCTCTGTGTTCTACTCCCCTAACATACTGGTTTGATGCATGGTTACAAATACTTTGTTCTTTCCTTCTACTCTGTAGCTCTAGACATTTCCTCTGGAAGCTCCAGCTTGAGCTGTCAATCTTGGCTCTTCAGCTCTTTCAGAGCAGGCAAGGAGTCTAATCATTATAGAATTCTTTAAATTCATAGGCTTCTGTACATGGAGACTGAAGAACAACTACCTTAATTCTAAATACTCTTAATCAAAGCACTGCATTTAATGTAAAAACCTTTATTTTTTCTTTTTCTTATCCTAGTGCCCTGTGTGTAGTCAGTTAATAGCTGAGTTTTACAAGGGATGTTTAAATTATATTTAATACAGTAGGTTTTTAAATTACATTAATAAATACTATTTAGTAGGATATGATGTGCTAATAATTTCTATGAAAAGCAATTGAGAGTTTCCAAAAATTGGTAATTAAACTCAACTTAAATTCACTCTGTCTGCTGACATACAAACTGACTGTCACAAACCATAGGCACCTCCACTCTGGTTTTGTGTTCCTGTCTACATTTAATTACATAAATGATTGCATTTTATTTCACCTTTCAAAACTCCGTATGTAACCAGGCTACGCTGTATTATGCATGACAAGTGATACAGGGTAATTTCATCTAATCCAACAATACTCATTCATAATTACATTTTAATTGTGTAAATGACTTAATAGCATTAGATGACAGTAATGTTATATCTTCCTGTTGAAAAATACATTATTGGTAAGAAAATGTTCAAGCGAGTGAGAACTTAAGGATCTCTTGACTCTTACTTCTCCTAGGGCTCAGAGTTTTGCAATTCTGGTAAAGGAGTAGTGTCAAAGCTCATCAGTTCCTAGGAGACAGAAAGCCAGAAGGAAATTAAATTATTAATCTGTGACTAGTACACTAGGTCTAACAAAAGCCTTCAGCTGTGCTGCTTGCTCATTTCCATCTATCTCTAAGTAAGCCAAGTCATGACCAGTTCGCACCTTCAGGTGTTTAATTGACAGAGTTTGGTGAGCTAGCCAGCAGTCTTTCATGTATATGGATTTTTTATTAGGACTCGACAGTGCACCAAATCTGGAATATTTACTAAAACTCTTCCATTTTACCTTTCAGCACCAAAATAGGCGCATTTCCATTGGAAGCTTTAACTCTGGGACCTTTTTGGAGACCTCAGGCCATGAATGATCCCTTGCTGCTGGCCAGTGTTGCTGTGCAGTGTGCCCTACAGCATAGAAACCGCTGAATTTGTGGACCTACATCTTGACATATTTCTTTGTGCTTTCATTTTCAAGCTCCTTTGCTAAGGAACTTTTCTTGGTATTTATGGACTCCTAGGTACATAAAGAGGCCTTCCTCCAGACCTCCGGAATCTTATTATTATATTACAGAAATGGAATAACTGTTTCATCTTACAATCAAAAATTTTACAGAGCTATTATATTTTTCCTTGCCTGTGTTTAATAGTGTTTTATCAGTGCAAGATGATGACGTTTGTAATTAACCTTTGAAATCAAGAAATCCTCTTCCCAATTTTTCAATTTCATCCAGCAAAAATGTCCAGAATTTTTATTATTCGTGATCACAGGGTGGGAACATCTCTTCTATGAAGACAGGCTGGGAAAATTGGGGTTATTCAACCTGGAGAAGAGAAAGCTACTCGGAGACCTTGCCAGCACCTTCCTAAAGAGGTTCCAAGAGAGCAGGGTAAGGACTTTTAAAAAGGTCACACAGTGCTAAGACAATGGGGAATGGCTTTAAACTGAAAGAGGGTGAGTTTATATTAGAAATTAGGAAGAAATTCAGAATACTGTGAGGCTGATGAGGCACTGGAACAGGTTGCCCAGAGAAGTAGTAGATGTCCCATCCCTGTGCTCAAGGCCAGACTGGATGTGGCTTTGAGTAATCTGGTCTACTAGAGGGTGTCCCTGACTGTTGGAAATAGATGATCTTTAAAAATCCTTCCAAAACAATCTATTCTATGATTACCTGCAGATGTCTTTGCCCAAGGTAGAATACAGAGGCCTTGATCCAGTATGCATTTCTTGAATTGAATGACTTGAATTAAAAATTCAACAATTCATGTAAACACATCTTGATTTTTGAAAAAAAAATTTATTAAGGTGTAAAAGTGCTTCATTTCAATTAAATTGAGAATTGCATTTTCAAGAGACAATTTTTTTTAAAACTGACTTTATTTTTATTTCATTTTTCTTTCTGTCTATGTCATATGTCAATAAATCCCACCTTGAGAACATTAAGAATTATGACTTGGGAAAAAGACCTCAAAAAATAAACACTTCTTCTGAGTTGGAAACTTCTAGCACCAATGACTGTTTTTGCATTGAATTTTCTGAAGCAGAACTGAGAACAATACCAAAAAACTGAGCAGCCACAGGCTAATAATAAAACAGTACAATATTGCTGGAAATTCCAGCAGAGATCATGGACAAAAATAGTCACTTCGAAGGTCAATTGTTGGGCAAGGAATGATGTTAGCTTATATTTTTTTCATAATGAATAGGCTTCACATTACTTAAAAAGAAATAAGGATAGAGTTGAAATGAAAGTTTTAAAAAACAATAATATTTGACTCACCAACTCCCAAGGTGTCTCAATGTTTTGTCCTCATTTTGTCTATGACTTTATTTCAGAATCTCAACAACTTTTACTGAATGGAACTTCCATTTTTAAAAAGGAAGTTCTTATTTCTGACTGCTTTTCCCAGTCTGCTGTGTCTTAGATCTGTGACTTGAATGTCCTTTAAATCAGCACACATATTGTGGCCAAACACTCACTGTTTTATTATGAATGTAGCAATCCCTTCGACAAGTGACTGTTATAAATATTATTAAATTATTGATATAAATATATATAGTTATAGATAAAGATATACACATAACATTTTTCTAGTCTTTTACTTCCTGAATATGAAAAAAAGTAGGAAATCTGAATGTGCAACACTCCTTCCCTGAAAACAGCTACCTGTTACCTAATTTTCTGGCAGGTGAAGCCTTGGGAAGAAATCCTTCTTAGAAGGGACAAAATCATGAATTCTCTTCCACCTCACTGGGAATCATAATAAATACTCATTATCCTATGGGGCAAAAAAATAAACATTAAACAATAGGGTGGGTTAATGTTATTGATAAAGCTGAGTCTGAATGGAAAACAGGTACAAGAAAGTGGAAGAATATATGAAGAAAAAATCAGGAAGACAGAACAGAAGGGACAAAGGTGAACTGGAAGTAATCTTACAATGAGTTGCCATGAATAACTGCACTTACTTCTTCATTCATAGAATCATAAAATGGCTTGGGTTGTAAGGGACCTTGAAGACCATCAAGTTACATCTGCCCCAATCTGACAGCAACATGTAGGGCCAGAATAAGAGACTGTCTACATTTTGCTTGTCACCAGCTAAGCAGTATGGCACAGGACATTATACTCAATCTCATTCTTCTAGTGATGGCTCAGGAGATGCAGGAAGTAGGTTAGCATCAAACATGTAAAGGGATATTTGGAGACTGGAACTCTTTCATGGTTTATAGACACTACCTCTAAGTAAAGTCCTAAAGTAGCTCCTTTTCTTTGATAGTAATTTTTCTTAAATCTGTGCTATCAGAAAGCCAGTGGCATGTGGAAAGCATTATTAACCTTTGTAAAACAAGCCAGAGGAACTGCTAAAACTGGAAGCATAACTAATACTTTACATTGACTTATGAAATTAAGGCTAGGCAGTCTTAGGAGAAATCACAGATCTCATGGTTTCAGTTTTGTTGAGTCAGTGCTTATTTTTGTACCAGTGAGAAGTTACCATGGACACACTTGTCATGACATTTTGTCCACTTCTCCAGATAATGTAAGGATTTTCTCAACTGTTCTTTGCCATAATGAGAAACTCTAAAAGCTTAGTTGTATGAGACACATTAAATCATCATCTTTTTTTGGTACCACTTAGTGAGATCCTTTCCAGAATGACTGGAATCTCTTTCTGGCTTTACCTTTTCTTCCAGGGTTTAACAGCTCTCTGCTTGCTCAAAACCACTCATGCTCTGCTGTCAATTGGTTTGGGTCCAAGGCCTGAGGCACAAAAGTTGCCCATTTCTGAGGCTTGGAAGATACTTGAGGTTAGCACCTTTGGCAATCTTTTTTAGGAATAACCTGTACTAAACTATTAAAAGAAATTTCCAATTTTTTTAGTACACTGCTTTTGCAGCTACCAATTCCTTTTGTGGATAGACAAGAGTTTACTTATTATGTAATGAATTGTGGTCAAATTTTATCTTCTTTTTTTTTTCTGTGGTGGTGGGATAAATACCAACATCATTTTTGACTGAAATTTGGAAGGACATTTACTTTTTTCCAATTTGGCCATGGAACCAGAGGAACCACAGAAGATTAGCCAGGACTCCATCACTGATCCTGTCTCCAGGCAGCTTTACACTGCCTTAACACTGACACAGTGTTAAAGCTATAGAAAATATTTGTGAGTTGTAATGTTTTACAAAAGGGTTTGCTTTGCTGAAGATCTATATTTATTGGGAAGTTTCAGAAGATTATAAGAAGAGAAATGGGATTTTTTTTTCCTTACTAGTGAAGACGATCAGCATAGGCAAGCATAAATCAGGAGAAGCTTTAACATACTATATTTTAGAGCAATTAGAGTTTTTCCCTTACTGGTGAATAATCATTTATGATTTGTGGAACCTCACATTTCTAAGCTGTTGTATTCTGTATCCTGCTTCTATGTTTAAATGTCAAATGCAAAACCTATTTTCAAGAAGAAAATGCATATTCAAAACATGTGGTAGTAGTACAAAATACCAAGAAGAAGTATGATATACATACTAGTGAGACCTATTTTATGCTCCTGTACTCCATATGCGGCATGGAATATGGATTTTGCTACATCATCATCTAGTAATGTCAAGATATTTTGTTAGGTATTCAAAGACATGGAAAAAGTAATTTTATTACTTGCCTTTTGCCATATCACATGAATATCATGCAAGTAAAATAGGTACTGATAATAGGTGAGACAACAGTCTGGCATAAAACTTTCTGAACTGTAGTTTGATATAGAAGTTTTATTTAATATTTTTTATTGCTATAATTTGCCTTTTAAAATGCTCTAAAAGCAGAAGTCACAAATTTGATGCTACATTTTTGAAGTATTTTAATCTGGCAGAAATAATGTCAAATGAAGATCAGCTCAGATATTTGGCTTAATTTTTTTTTTTTTTTTTTTTGTTTTACCTGTAAGGCTGAAATCTTCTTCTCACACAAGTGTCTTTTTTTCCTGTTGCTTGCTGCTTTTATAAAAATTGATCGAATTGTTAACTGCACTCTACATCATTTCGATTAAATATTGGTCATTAGTCTTACAATAAGTGCTCACATTTTCCTTGTAAAATACTTTGATTTAATAGATTCCAACAGCACTATAATCATTACCTAAACATAAACTTTCATAAGCATGCAAATTTATGCTTTAAGACAAACCATGTTGACATGAAAAAGGCAGATGTTAGTTTTATTGTGTAAATCACCTTTAAAATGTATGTTCCTTGATTTGAAATGTAAGGTATTTCAAAAGTATTGTGAAGCTGGAGAAATAATGCATTATTATAATGCAGAGCTCAACTCTGGAGGCTTAAGGTTTCTTATTCTTTACCCCACTGAGCTTTGTGTAATAAGTAATGGAAAATGCCTTTTCATTTGTGCAGTTGATAAAGTTAAAACTTCTTGATTAATACTCTTTTGCAGAAATCAGGTACTGCTATGAATATGTCTTGGTGTTTGTAATTTCTTTTGCAATAATGATACAGCTGATAAGGATTTTATTTAATAAAGGTAATTGCAGTCGAAGGGTCTGGCTGTTTAATATTCCTTAGGTATCTGTACTGACAAATCTAAAAAATGTGAGAATGTCTGATAGTTGACAATGACCTTCAGTGTCAGAATTTATGCAAGCCTTATTCAGGTAAATGGTGCAGGGAATACAGTTATTCATTGTTCTCCTGTTGACATAACATATAAAATAAGGCCTGTGGTGGGTACAGTGGGCAACTGAATCTCAGTTTTCTTTTTGGTTCTGCTAATAATTATCACCATTTTGAAATGGCGTCCTTTAAAATCCATATGAATCATACTTCAAAGTATACTGGAGGCATTTCATTATTCTGACTATATCCCAAGTTAATTTGGAATAATCAGTTGATTGTCCTACCACTTTAATGCAACGGTAACAAGCACTGCACATGCATCAGCTGCAGGATATACTGGCCATATCAATACAAGTTAAACATAACTGTGAACTTTCCTGTGCGCTGAGCTCAGCTGGTAAGAAATGACACCACCAGTCTTAGCTTGCAGAAGGGAGAATGAATGGAGCCTGTCTTCTGGGAGCAGTCCTCAGAACATGTTGTATTCCATTTTATTTAAATGGTATGCTCTGTCTCAACACATTAAATGTCAATCCATGTTCAGGATTTATTTGGGAAAGTCATACCAGGATCCCAGTTTAGAATTGTGGCAGGATCGTATTAAAAAAACCCAAAAAACAACAATAATCCCCCCCCAGATAAACGATAGTCTCCCAGTAGCAGGAGATGTTCTACAATACTGTCTATATTTTTTCAAAGTATGTGGTCTTGCTTTTCCAATTCTCTTGGACAGATTGCTGGTTGCAGTGTGACTTCTATGATTATTAGTGAGAGAAGAAGCATGCAAGGTGTTCTAAAAAGGAAAAGAAAACAAAGGGAAGGAGTTGGTCTCTTCTCCCATGCAACAAGCCATATGACAAGAGGAAATGGCCACAGGTGGCTCCAGGGGAGATTTAGATTTTATTAGGAAAAATTTGTTACCCAGAAGTGTTGTCAAGCACTGGAAGAGGCTACCCAGGGAAGTGGTGGAGTTGCTGTCACTGGAGGTATTTATTTAAGACCTGTAGGTTTAGGGGACACGGCTTTGAGGTAGACTTGACAGTGTTTGCTTTAAGGTTGGACTTGATGATGTTAGAGGTCTTTTCCAACCTAAACAATTCTGTTCTTCTATGATTCATGAAATTCAAGAACTCAGGAGGAGAGAATAGAGTGACAAAGGAGGAAGAGGTCAGTCAGAGGATATATATCTGCACTTACACAAGTACGTAAGTATTTGTATATGTGAACACACTCTTTCTGAGTACTGGAGGCCAGCAGTACTGGTGATGCAAAGGAGATCTTCAACTCAGTAACTCCCTTGTCTTTAAGCATTTTGGTAGCTTCATTAGCTTCAGAATGTAGGATCTAAAGACCAGATGTTTTCTGTTGGGGATTGATTCCTTCACTGGAGGAGGTGACAAATTATTCACAAGGGCATGGAATATTTAAAAAATGTGAAGACATTTTAATGTTCACAGAGACCCTATGCATTCTGTTGAGTTTACATGCTACATAAAAAGCCAGCTGTGTCTTGTGTGCTGGCTTTCTCATGTGCTGGCAGGAAGAAGGAATCCTTGTGCATGAACCATCAGTGACGAAGTTAATGGAAAATGCACATTTCCTCTGAAAGTTTTTTTTTTAATCTATTTTCTCAAATGGATATGAAATACCCACTGAGTGTGGTTGTGCAGCTACTGTAGGATGTTGAAAAACAATTGAAATCAAGGGGAGATTTAAAGCCTGAAGAATTAGCTGAAGATCTTTGTGTTATTTCCACAAGCAAGTGTAAGACACAGGACTTTAAAGGTTGGCACTTAACACTATACATATTCATTAGATTGTTTGTTCCTCTCCCCTCCCTCCACCCCTCTCATTGTCTTTCTCATGGATATCTGAACTCTTCAGGTACCGTTTTGTATTCAAGGACTCTAATTTTGTTTTGATTCTACAGTGATTATGTCCTCCACTAAGTTTATGCTTAGCTTTTTTTTTCTCCAGGTGTCATTTCATTGATCAGTAAAATTGAATTAATGGTAGCAGTGAGATGCCCTAGCTGATTGAGGGACATATTTCTATTTTGCTAACAATTTTTTTTAAAGAATTTCTTTCTAATATTTAAGACAGAGTAATCCATTGTGGGCTGATCAGAACTTTGATCCTGGTCTAATCCCTGATCACTCTGGCATTGATTTAACATTATTTTTGCCTTACTAGGCCAACTAGGATAAAACCTGTCATGTGCATTCATCTTTGTTAAAAGATGAATGAGTAAGACAGGCTTTAAAAGCATTTTAAAGAGCAAGGTGCTGGAACTGCATTCTTAATCTGCATTCCTTCCTGCTGTCTTATGGGATGTTCTGAAAATGTGCCTTTTAGAGGTCAGATAACTTTTTTCAGGTTTGTAAAAGGGATGAAAACCATAAATTAAATGGCCTATGGGATAAGTTCAAGTGCTAGTCCATTTCAGCTACAAACACCCTATTCCCTTGAAAAATTATGACTCATCAAAACCAAGAATTATATCTCATTTCTAGAACTCCAGCTAGTTTAACTCTTATCCATTTGTGGATTGGACTTTGCCGTTTATAATAAAAACAAAACCAAAAAAACAACCAGCAACAAACCCCAACAGAAAATTTCAAACCTCCCCTTTAAACCTTTTTTTGTTCCGTTAGTTCAGGACAGACAAGTACAATCTGCTGAAATAGAAAATTCTTAAAGGAGGTCTTGATTTTGTTATCTACTGGGCCTTTGTGATATACCGTCATCTTTTATTCTACTCTAAATTAGGAGTCAGAGGATCGTTGACATAGCATGTGACATATTGTAATTAGCTGTCCAGAGTCATCTCTAAGTGAGGAAAAAAAGAGGAAAGTAATGAATTCCTTTGAAGTGCTGTGAAAAATACACAATAACAGGGAAGAATTCTCAACATGGTCAAGCAAGCTTGTCCAGCATGAAAAAAATAGAAGTGCGCATTGAAATACTAGGTCTGAAAATTGCCTGGCTTTGTGGAGAAACTACCTCTTTGTCAGTATTCTTGTTCTCAGGTGAAGAAAAGA